GCCGGCCTCTGGCGTTACCAGCCATAGATTCGCAAAATAGCTGATCATCCAAGTAGATCCAAAAATTCATTGAACGGTGGCTGCAGGGTCTGTTAGCCGCACGGGACATCACCAGGATACAGTGGCATACAGCTGGAACGAGGCTGAGAAGTGCTGGCACCGGGGCAGTCTGAACCTGAGCGCTCAAACTTGGGCCGTTTTCGTCGTTTCACCCGTTCGTCCTGGGCGACACACACGTTTTGGGTCGTTTCGGCCTTTCTCCCGTTCGACTCCCGTTGCTTGAGACGACTCACTTCAGACATTCAGATCTCATCGTGAGTCGTCTCCGATCGGACTCGGCCTTCTCCACCCTTGTCTCGCCCTCCCCCAGGTGGGTGTCTGGGACACCCGGAGCAGAAGCTGGCCACCGAACGGAAGAAAGACTTCTGCGAGGCGGGCGGCAAAGCGCAGTTTTTCGGTGTTGGTTTAGGCTTCAGGGTTCCTGGCACTTGCGACCAGTTGGAGTGAAGACACAGATGACATACAAGTGGTTGAGCGACACGATGCAGGACCAAAAACTGTTGTTCGAACTTTGCTTGCTGTCCAGAAAGGACCCACCGCACAAACACCCCGAACCATCTCAGTGAATGCAGAGATGTATTGGGTTCCAAACTGAGCATTGAATGGCAGAAGACAACATCATTTGATTCAAAACAGGCAGAGCTTTGCATCCCAGTGCAGAGCATCCTGTCGGAGACGTTGATGTTGAGCTACTGCACCTTGACAAGACATGCTGGGATTGATGGCATTGTCCAACAAGCAGGGACGCAAGAAAGGCTTGGATGTCAGATGATGTGAGTCTTTGCTGATTAAGCATAACATAACCGACGGATGCCGCGCTTAGCTGACAACAAGACCCTTGATTGTTTTGGCCCATGGTTTACTTGTGACATTTTGTCACATTTGGGGACACGCCCCTCCGGTGTTTCAATGCTTCCTGGGCCGTCAGTTTACTCTTCCCAGACACATCTCCCCTCCTTGACCTTACCAAACTTCTTTCTTGCCTGGACCTTCAAGAGAAGCCTAGTGGCTCCAATGACCACTAGATGAAAGTGCTGCCGTAAATCTGCGGTCAACAGGCTTCAAATGCCCTCAAACGACTTTACAAGCCCCAAACAATCACTGCAAAGCCTATTCCAACCCGAAGCATGAAGTTGACAATGGTTGACTCCCTTCCCTAAATCCAAGGACAGCGATGTTCGATCCTGTTTTGTTCGCACCGCATCCAAGGCAATGACCTTGGAAAGACAGAGGACCGAACGCCACACGCTAAGAGCTGCGACAGCGCCCTGAGCGGTCAGGCACCTGGGTGTGAGCTTCGGCTTGGCAGCCGTGATATGATATGACTGGCTGTGATATGCTGTCAGCCCATGTGTTCGAAATGTGTTTCAAGTTTTGCGGGAAGAACCGGTATAGCTTCAGTACTTGTACTATCTTGCGGAGGATCCCCATCCATTTTGCTTGCAGAAACCAATGACACAAGTACTTGCATCATGAATAATGAACAACGAAAATGCCTGCCACAACCGCATTGTCATTTATAAGGGACCATTCGCCAAGCTATGCCGATCCAGATTCTCCACCTTCAAAAACACTCCAGCACCGGCAACACCAAGAAATGACAACTCAGTACATATAATCATATAACCCCCCC